AACAATTTTTAATAAACATTCATAGATTAAATGTCACATATTGTATTTGTGACATATTAATAGAATTTTGCATTTAATAAACTCAATAAAAAATATTTTGAACATGATTTATATCATATTTTTATATTTTTTAGATTGGATCTACACAGTATGGTTACTAAAAATGAAAATTAAGGCAAAAATATCTTTTTTAAAAAAGGTACTATAGCTTTGTAATATATACATAAAAAGGTGCATTTTGTGATTATCAGATAAGTATAGTTGCTTTGACAAATATATTCTATTATAATTTTTTTAAACTATAAAAAGTACGCAATATTACTATTAAAATTTAGCAAAAGATTCAATCAGAATTAAAAACAGTAAAAGAAAAATTTATATGCGTAAATATTAAAAAAAGTTTTGTACGAAAGCAAAAATAAAATTTATATTCATCAAATTCTATAATACAATAAATGTTTTTTTACATTCAATTTATTATTTTTTCAATCAAATTTTAATTATACTTATGAAACATGCTTTCTTGTAAAAATTCAGATCTCTAAGGCTCAAAATTTAAAGTTAGGTAAAATTTTTTTATGATAAACAATTTTTTTTGTCTATATGTTAAATAAAAGTCTTATCGCCATTCTAATAGATTTTTACTTATACATATATAAAATTTAAATCTAAAATTCTAAGTTTAATCAATAGTCTGTAAAAACATTTTTCTAAATATCATTTTAAACCTGTTAAAATTAAATAAAAAGATATTTCTATTAATAATTTATATTGAATTGTATCTAATAAACATTTATTTATATTGTATCTTCACAAAAAATATATAGAATAAATAAAAAAATATAATGTTTTGTTAATTATACATTTATAACACATAGAAAGTTAAATAAACACTTTTAATAGGGTTTTAACGATATAGTCAATTTTTAAATATACTGGCAAATAAGATTATCAGAACATTTAGCACTTTGGAAATATAAAAGTAAATCACTCAAAAATTTATTGATTCATTGTATTCCTGTGATTATAATATTTTTTAGAGCATTGAAAATACTAAATTTACTTTTAGAAAATAAGAAAACAACAATATAAGCTCTATGTATTAATTTGAACACTATTATTTGTAAATGCATTAAAAAAAGAAAAATGTTTGTGTTAATTAGATGAAAGATTTAATAAAAACTAAAAATCATAAAGATATCATTTGTTTTTCATTTAATATCCTATGTTTTTTTACGCATATTTATACTTCTAATCAAATTTTTTATTTTTTATAATTGTATCAAATAGGCTTGATTGTCAAATTAAAATTTAATTCTTAATAAACATTTTTTTACACTAACATTCAAAATTTTATAAAACACTGTGAAATGATTATTTACTTTTTAAACCCGTTAACTACATATAAGTGCATGAAGAAACATTTGAAATTATTATCTAGAATATACTTAAAAAGACTAAAGAGATTCAATTCGAAATTTAATTTTATATATAGTTATTTCTTATATAATATTGAAATTTTAAATTCATGTAAAAAAATAATACTGGATGATTATATTGATTGGAAATTTCGGAATCAAATTTTACAATTAACTTTTTCATTCTTTATTAATGAATCAACCTTAAATTATCTTAAAATACAAAAATAAAATTGTATACTAAGATTGAATATATATTCTGATCACTAACTTGTTCACTGGGCAAAAAATTAATGTTCCCATCTATTTGAAATTTTTATTATACTATAATAGCTTACGTAAATAGCAAAATGAAGTATTTTACCAGTTATATCATATCAAAATTCATAAAAATTCAAATTTGGAAATTTTTTATATAATCGTAAAAAACCATTTTTTTCAGTTTTTCTCATATTTTACTGCTTTAAATTTAAATACACTACAAATATCCATTTTAACACATCTATATTACCAATAATATATTTCATTTATACAATAAATGTTCTCAATTAAACATCAAAAAAAAACGCTAAAAAATATTGAATAGAGTATATTATGTAAAATATTTCAAATTAATCATCTTTTCATATACATTTTTAATCAGGCGAATACTTAGGTAGAAAAATATAAACATAATAAAGTTATTTATATGGTTAACAAAATCATTGAAATTTAATACAAAACCATTTTAAACCAAATATAATATTTAAAAAGATTTAATTGCGTATATTTGTAAATGAACAATATGTTTGCCGTACACACTTGGTGGCAAGTGTGCATGGTGCAAGAAAATGTTGAATATCGCTTGGTTATTTGCTTTGTATGATTTATTTAACTTTGGTGGAAGACCTGTACCGGGTTACTCCTGCTGTCTTGGTCTGAGGCTGAAGTGGGAGCACTTTCATAATACCTATTATTTTCCACCATGGGTTCATTGTTGGGACAGTTTAAATAGGTAGGAAGGTGGGAAATTTGGGAGGGAACTTGTTCTACAAAATTTATACATATAAGTACCCCCTTAAAGTATGTGGTTTACCACAAATACCTACCTAAGTTCATTTATTACTTTTTATATCTTTAGAATCATATCTTTATACTTCTTTTTCTCAACTTGATTTACACAATACCAAATTTAAATTTGATCTTCAATACAAAATCTAGCAAAAACATTTAATAGGTCTTATTACGACCAAAACGTGTATTTTTGAAGGTTATTTTTGACAAATTCTAAAAAAATTCTATAAAATTAGAAAAAAATTTACTTCACGAAAGATAGTAAATGAAGAATAAAAGGTTTTAGGAAAAAAAAGAAACATAAAAACCATAGTTAAAAAATTCTGAAGAGGAAAAACGAAAAGATAACCCCAGAAAAAATAATAACAAGATGTAAGTTATGCTATTAAATCAAAAAAATATTACTTATGAAACACGTTTTTTCTATTTTTTACTTTTTGTTTTTTTGCTTTGTGTAATATAACATACTTAAAGATCAAATTTAATGACCAATCAAGTCAGAACAGATTTGAACCCTTATTTATACATTTTTAATGTGCAAAGTTCCACTATATTTTATTTGAATGATTATTTTAATGTGGTAAATGATGATAACTTATACTGATAACAAATTACCACAAAAAATTGTTTTTATTAAAGTGTTTTTAAAACAGCTTGAATAGAAACAAATTTTTGAATCTTATTATATCACTATTTTTTGTCGAATTGTTTTAATATTGATCCTTTATTGTAAGTTATCAATAAAATACCAATACAAAGAAGAAATATTCTTTTGAATGGAAATTTTAATGTTTTTTTATATAAAAATGATATCTTATAAATAAAGCTGTTTTGCTCAAATAGAGTTAATTAATTTATAAAAATTATGATTCATTTCGTTCATATTATAAATTCCATTGTTTTGCAAAAATGAATTTTTAGTCTTAAAACAATTAAAAATTTATTTGTTTTTTACTTTAAAATTATTCATACCGCCATTCTTTAAATTAAAACATAATAAATACATATAATTATTTCATCAAAATGCATCATTTGCAATAATCCCGTTAATTATCAACTTTATGCTGCTTAAAAAAATTTTTTTTCAAAAAGTAAAAGAACTAAGATATATTTTTTTAATATTTTTATACAATTCAAATCTTAAAACTTGTAATAACTATTAAATTCAAAAAAAAAATCATAATCTGTAGATAGAACAGTAAAGTATTCTATGTGTTTTTAATGAATTGTAATTGTGAATTTTTATTTTTCAAGCTAAAAACTCTTTTTAAAATGCTTTCAAAAAAATTGGTAAGTAATAATCAAAAACTCTTTCAACAATTTAAATCCTAACATTTAACAGATTTTGAATAACCAATTTCATAAATGCATTAAAATTAAAATATATAGATTACCTTTGTGTGTCAAAAAAAAATTTTCTATAGTGCAATAGATTTAATTAAATTGATAGGCCTAACAATTGCATTCAAACTATTTAAAACAAAATTTTGGTGTATAAGCAGGTTGAAGCAACAATTTAATATTATTTGATCTTCAAAATATTTAAAATAAAAAATATAGAAATTTCGTACAAATTTACATATAGTTAAGATAATTTGTAAATTTTTATATATTTTATTAAAAAGTAATTTTTCATAAAATTTTTTGGATACATTGATTTGATAGGAAATAAAATGAAATTTGCGTTGACAATTTTTAATATTCCAATAAAGAAATCATATAGTTGTTTGATTATAAAGGATTAATTTTATAACTTTATATGAACACTTTTAAGTGATATATTAGATTTTTTAACCTGTTTTATATCAATAATCCCAATAATTTATAAAGAGTATAATGATTATTTTTTTCAAGTATTTCTTTATATGAACGTTATCATTTTTCTAAAAAATTTTTTAAACTAGTTTACCATAATTTTATCTATTTCTATATGCATTAGATTTTTTTTTGAAATTTTTCATAAATTGTATTCTAACAAAATAAACACATTCACATTTTCCCAACACGCAAAAATTTCAAATCTAAAAAATCATTTATCCATTTAAATGTACAATACTACGTAGAAAAAAAACGGTGAAATGTAAGTATAAATTCGAATTTGATACTATTATTATGTTTCGAAAGTATAAAATACTAATACTAAAGATATTACTTAATTGTATATCATAATCTAGAAATTTCAAATTTTTTCTTATAAGTAGTGTAGAACTAAGAATATGACAGTATATTTTGCAACTATAAAAATACAAAATTGATATTAAATTAACATTATTTATAAACAATGATTTCCGAATAGTAGTAAATAAACAATATCAGATAAATTTGATTCTTAATATTAAAATCAATAAAAAAAGTATTTAAAATTTTTTCGTTTAACCTTTCATATATTTATATAAATAACTTTTCGTAACTCATAAGTTTCTATTATTATATTATAAACACACAATCAGTTTATAACTGTATTTATTGTATTGTTTTATTTTTATACGATTTTTTTATTTTTGTAAATTCTATTAGTCGTCTTATCAAGGGGGTTTAGCTCAGTAGTAGAGCGTTCGCTTAGCGTGCGTAAGGTCGTGGGTTCGATTCCTACAATCTCCATTTTTTACAAAAAAAGACTGTTTTATGAAAGAATAAAAATCAATCTTATTCAAATAACCCGTATTATTTTATAACATTTCAAATTTACATTTATATTAACATATTTTTATTTTCAATCATTCTTTATAAAACAAAAGCATGTTTTAAATCACTAAGAAAAATATAAAATAAAATATGTTATAATAAAAATAATCATAATTGTTCAAAAATTGCTTTTGTTCTTAAAACTTTCCTTTTATTATGAAATTCACATTCTGTAAATGTATTTTTTCATGATAGATAATCAGTTTATGATTTTAATATCGAATAGTGTTAAAGAATAATTTTTAAAAGAATTGAAATTTAAACATAAGTATTAATTTGAAACATAGTAAAATATATATGAATTTTTGTTAAACTATTATAAAAAATCGCGCAGAATCTTAATTGTTGAAAAATCTATAAAATTTTGCAAAGAAATCGAATTTAGATTTCAATATTGTGATTTAATGTGTGAATTTTAAAAGAAAAAGGTGTTTAATTAAAGTTTTTGCTGTTAAAGAAACCTATTATTATTTAGAATAATGTGGTGTCATTCTTTTATTTTTTAAAATTTGCGTTTAAGTTTAAATTAAGGAATTTATATAGACTTGCGGAAAAAAATAGATAGATGAAAAAAGATGTTTTTAAAATCAAAAGACTATATTAATAAATGTTTTAATCAGATCTCAGTATTCATTTAAATAAAAATTGAATATTTTAATTTTTTTCGAAAATATGTGAACATAATAAAACAATCTTTTAATATTAAAAAAACAATAATTACATGTTCATGATGATATGAATTGATCAGATATTCTAACAAAGCCCTCATTATCTAGACAACAATTTGTAAGCACCTTAACAAAAAATGGCCACAGAAATAAATATAATTCAAAAAATTTATTTTTATACACAAAACAAGTTTAATTATTTTTGTTCACAGAGTTTTCGTATTTGATTTCATATAACATTTACAAGAATTTGATTTTTTTTTAATTATTTGTTCACTAAAATACTTTTTATAATATTTTATCTACATAATAAAATTAATTATTTCTAGAGTTTTATCTAAAACTTTTAAATTATTTGTCGAATATTTTTTTCAATAGCTCTGTCAGAGCTTATTTGTAGATATTTCAAAATACATTGAATAATTGAAATTTTTCATTTTCGAAATAGAAGCTTTTCAACATGATAAAAGATTTTTTTGGTTAATTTCAAAAAAACATCATAAAAAAATATATTATAAATCTTTTTCAATTTTTAATTCTATCGTTATAATGCTTTAATATTTTTGTAGGGAGATTATGATTTTATTATAAAACAATTTTTAAAATATCGCTAAAATTAACTAACGAGCTTTTAAAATTTTTTTCTTTGATTTTTATTTTTTTGATTCGAATTATTATATATTTTTAGTTGGTATTATAGCAAAACAAATTATTCTGTAAAAAATATCAGTATTTAATATCAACAAATATGAATATAATAAAATGGATACATTTTTTATTTTTTTTGACTTCTATTATACGAAAATTTTAAGAATTGATTAATTTTATAATTTTTTGATGATAAATTAGATGTTTAAAAATATTGATAAACGAAATTATATACATATTTTTTTGATTAGAAAAAAAGAAAAAAGTTTTTTTTAAAAGCATTAATTAATTAATGAAATAAATTAAAAGAATTCTTTATCATTTACATAACATAAAATAACGCAACATGATGGATTCTTCTTATTTTATTTTTTCCGCAAAATATACCTTTTTTGTATATTAAATTGTGCAAATTCTGAAAATTCCAACAGACCTATTAAAAATTTTTGCATGCTGTTTTTAATTCTACTTATATACGTAAAAATTTGAAAAATCATTTTTTCAGCGTTCTGTAATTTTTTTATTATTAGCTTGATATTAATAATTTTGATCTTTTATATATCTGAAACATAAAAACAAACGTTTTACAAATTTCATTATCAAAATTGAGTAATTTTTTCACCTCCCAAATAGCAAACTAAAATACAACTGTTGATTCACTTGTACACAAAAAATTTTATTTTGCTCGATGAATTACCGCAATAATTATTAAAATACTATATATGTGAATTTAAAAATATTTTTTGTTAATTTTTAGTTTTTATTTGATTTAGAAAACATTAGGTCACTTTTCAATTTTTTTTTGGAAAAGAACATAAACCAACAAAAAAAAATATTTACAAAATAATCAAATCAATTAGAGCTTCCATTAACCGTTTTTCTAGAACATGAGGACAGTCATTTTTTGAATTTTTTAGATACTTATTTGCTAATTCGTATATCTTTTACTATATATGTGACAACAAAAAACCCGAACTTCAATAAAGTATCGCATAATTTTATCAAATATATATTATGATTGAATCTATAAACCATTTTTATTCTAAAAAAGAATTCGCATTGGTTTAAATATCAAAAATATGTTCATCGACACTTTTTAAGGTAAGCATATATGAAAATCGATGAAAGGCAAAAAGGATAAATTTATATTATTATTAGTATAAATATTTAAATGTTTCATAGCGGCTACAAGGCTCATGTCTATTAAAATAACCGTGACTTACTTATAATTATAATAAATTATATTAAATTAAAAATATAATTTTTGTTGTTGTTAAATGCATTTCTACAATGTTTTTTAATTTTATGGTCTTTTTAAACAACCTCACATTCAATTTTTGTTTATATAAAGACTATTAATAATAAAAATAATTAAAATCGAATTTTACCTATATAAACAGATCAACTAAATAAATTTTTACACTATTAAATCACACCTTAATTTCCTTTTACGTTAGACTATTAGTCGATCTTATTAATTTTGATTTTTTTCTGGTTTTGAATCTTTTCCCAAATTTATTTGATTTCTGCATTCTTATTAAATAAAAGTATTGTATTCAATATCTGGTAGTTTAAATTGATTTGTTTATTATCGTATATATTTACATGCATAGAGCTTGAAATATGAAAAAAAAAATTTGAAGATTACATATTAAGTTCAATTAATTTTGAATTTGCAATAACTATTAGGTTAATAAAAAAATTTTTTAAGAATATAATATGAACATATGCTTCTACTATTACTTCAATTTATATAAAAATAATTGAAATTATTTATATGTGAAGAATTAATTTTTTGAGTTTTTGATTAAAGTTCTTTTGCTGTTCTTGAATAAAGTTAATAGTTGGATTTTTATAACTTTTTTTGTGTCAAAAAAACGAATGAAATATTTTTCTGCTCTAAATCTCATTTATTAAAAATTCATAAATATGAACACCTAAAGCAAATAAAGAATTTATTAGAATTACGATAAATTTATTGGTTTAAATCTATAAAAAAAGCTATTTTTAAATACAATTTAACCTTTATTGTTTAAATATAGTAACAATATAAAAAACACACAAATTAGTTCTTTGATATTTCGCTACTTCATTTACAGAAAATTATCAGATTAATTTTATAGACAGAAGGAAATTTTGAATTAAAATTTCTTGATTTGTTTTCGCTTTTTATATTAGTAAGAGTAGGAAATAGCATTAATCTTTGAGACTTTAGTTATTTAGTTTTCATTAATTATTTTCTATTTTTTTAAATTTACAAATTAAGGAGAAAAAAGTATATTTAATACTTTTATTTCTTATTAGTATGTTTTATGAAATTTAAATTTTGATCAAATTTCGAAATTTTATGATAAATATATTGGATAGTTTTATGATAAACAAAACATAAAGTTTTTGATTTTTGATAATTTTGATCAAAATTTAGTTGATCTTTTTTGACTAAATAATAGTTTAAATAAACCTTTGGTGAATATACATAACAATACAAAATTGTCTTTTATATTTAATTTGTGATCATTTAATGTAGGAAACTGGGAAGACCAAGGGATTGATTCATAGCCTCTACCACAGTGATTGCAAGAAAGTATTTTGCAAACTAGGATACTAAATTTTTGAAACACTTTTTTAAATATATAAAGCAAAAAAAAATTGATCATACCGTAAAAAACGATACCTAAAACCGTAATACATAAGAATTACAATAAAAAAAACAATTTTTTTGTTTTAATGTGGAAATAATGTTTGCTGTTTTTATAGCTAAAAATATTTTAAATTTTTTAGCGTACCTTTGAATCATAAATATACCTTTGATGGATATAAACACTCGTCACAGAATATAAATTTATCAAGAAGTATCCTAATTGTTCTTAACTTGAACTTATAAATAAAACACAGGCGATTTCCTTGTAATTTTCCTTTTCGTTTTGTTTCATCCTTATTTTTAGTTTCGATTAATGAAATTTACCATTTCATTGCAGCAATAATGCTATAGAAATTGAAGTATTCTTCCATAAATTTTAAAAAAATTGTGTAACAAAAAAAGTTAATCTTTGGATTAATAACAATTTGAAAGAAATTTATAGGGGTAATACATTATTTTTTATTTTATAAATTTTATTTTAAAGTTTCCTGTTTTGATATAGCAAGCGTATCAATGTTCATTCTATATTTTAACCTTGAGTTTTTTTAGATTTTTTCTATAGAATATATCAAAATAATAACAGAATTATATGACTAAAATATTTTCAATTTTTTTTATCTTAGATACGTCGAAAAGTTTAATTAAATTTAATCTATATTTTATAAATGACTTGTGATTGTATAATTATAATAGTCGTGTTAAGTAATACAACTAGTTGATTAAAAAATTCGTTTATTGAGTTAATTTAAAGAGTAATATATCCTAAAAATAATTTTATTTGATATCATATAATTCTAAATTGAAACAAATATTATATATATTACTTAGATTTAAAAAAATACCATGTTTTAGGATTTTTTAGTATCTATGAAAGTAATTTTTTATTAAAAGGCAAGTAAAAAACATTTGTCATAAAAAAAATTTACAAATTAGACGTTTTTCACATAATAAAAATTAAC